TAACTGGGGTTACAGGCATCTGCCACCATGCCCTGCTAATTTTTTGTATTTTTAGTAGAGACGAGGTTTCACTGAGTTGGCCAAGATGGTCTCGATCTCCTGACCTAGTGATCCGCCTGCCTCAGACTCCCACAGTGCTGGGATTACAGACATGAGCCACCACACCTATACACACGTTTAAAAAATAAAGACAGGGCCAGCGCGGTGGCTCACGCCTGTAATCCCAGCACTTTGAGAGGCTGAGGCAGGCAGATCACCTGTGTTCAGGACTTCAAGACCAGCCTGGCCAACACGGTGAAACCCCGTCTCTACTAAAAATATAAAAATTAGCCGGGTGTGGTGGTGCACACCTATAGTCCCAACTACTCAGGAGGCTAAGGCAGGAGAATCCCTTGAACCCGGAAGGTAGAGATTGCAGAGAGCCGAGATCACACCACTATGCTCCAGCCTGGGGGACAGAGAGATTCCCTCTTAAGAAAAAAAAAAATTATGTAGAGTTTTTTTAAATAATTAACCACATAGGTTAAAAAATAAAAAGTAGCCAGCCTCCCAGAAGCCTTCTGTGTGCACCTGCTAATTACCATCTATATCATGTGTCTTCAGACAGAAGCACACATAAAACAGGGTTATGTATTGATCAAATGATGAAAATGTGTGGTCAGAGGCTTGCACTCTCCCTAGGAGCAGTGGCTCAGTATTTGCTAATCCAGTGTTCACAGTGACTTTACAGAACATAACTACCCCCAAGTAACGGGAATCAACTGTATTTTTATTACTTTGGGGACAAATAACTTTGAGCTCTCCATGACTTGCCACAACAAAAGACTTCCTAGGCAAATTGTCTACTGCCTTGTTCCAGGCGGGGGCTCTACTCAAGGCTGTGGGACCAAGACTAAAGAAGCAGCCTCTATGTGGATTAGGCCCCTTCTCCTGGCAGAGGGGAAGCACAAAGGAGCTGGCAGAAACTCATAGTGCAAAATTCACAAGGCATATGCTACATCCGCTCATATTCCAATAGGCAAAGCACAGCCGACAGCAAACCCACAGTCAATGAGACAGAAATACGTCTTCCTTCCACAGGCGGTTCTGAAATTGCAAGGTAATGGGCAGGAGTGTCCTCTTAAAGGGAAGATGGAATGAATAGTTGTGAATAATAATATAACCTATCACTATTACTCCTGTTTTAATTTTTTGAAAATGTGTAGATACATATTACATGTTTGTTTGTTTGTTTAAAAATATCAAACTTTACCCTACTCAGGCTCTCACCCTCCACACTGGGCCACTCAAAGATGCCCAACTTACCCTACTTGGGCTCCAACAGCCATATCAGGATGCATTCAAGACCAACCTGGCCAACATGCTGAAACCCCGTCTCTACTAAAAATGCAAAAATTAGCCGGGCGTGGTGGCGCACGCCTGTAGTTCCAGCTACTGGGGAGGCTGAGGCAGGAGAATCGCTTGATCCATTGATGCCTTCTTCACCCTGCTTAGGCTCTGATTCCTGACACAAAACAGCCCTGTTCTGTGGAACCCCTCCTCACTATGCTTGGCCCAACTCCCCACAGCCAACCACCCTAACTTCTACATATCCTCCTCATCTCCTTGGGCTCTGACCCTCCATGTCTGGCTGCCCACCCCCAAAGATACCCTCCTCACCCTCCTTCAGTTCTGACAGTCCACATCAGGCCTTCTCCCTGTGGAGACAGCTCCTCACTTTGCTCCAGCTCTGAGGCTCCTCCCTTATCTGCTCCCCCACCTGGACACTCTCGTCACCCCACTCAGGCTCTCATTCTGTGCCAGTCTGCCCCTATAGCCCCAGGGGGATGCCTTTCTCAACATGGGCAGACTGGTCTCCATGCTATGCTGCTTCTTGCCTCCTCACTGGACATTCTCATCTACCCCTGGCTCCAGCACACCATGCCAGCAGCCCTCCTACAGAGGCGCCCTCCTTGACCTGTTCCAGCTCTGATGCCCACACGGAGCCCGTCATGGCTCCCTTCCCCTTGGGGCAAACGCCTACCTTGCTTTGCCTATCTAATGGCTTTAGGACTGACTAGTTCAGTTAGTAAAGAAAAGGAGACAAAACAAGGAAGAGCTACTTTTCCTTTTTGTAAAAATATGCATTGTGAAAAAAAAACAAAGATAAAAATATGCATGAAACATTAATGTTCGGTCTAAAGAACTATTATGAAGTGACCACTCATTAAACTATCACTGAGATCGAGTAAAAGATTTCCAACACTTTCTGCTCCTTGCTTATTCTTTTTCAATACAGCCCCTTCCTATGCTCTCGAAGGCAGCTAATGGTAGTGACTTTCTTTTTTACATTTTCAAGCTGGTATGTATTCCCTTAAATAGGTTTTTGTTCTTGTCTGCTTCTGTTCTGTATCAATGGAGTCAGTTGGAATGTATTCTTTTGTGCCTGGCTTTGTGTGTTCAACATTATATTCATGAATTTCATCCACATTGTTGTGTGTAGCTGTATTTTGTCAATTTTCATTGCTGTGCCATCTATTGTATGACTACACACATCTCTACTGAGTTGCTTATAGTTTGCAACTGTTAAGAATAAAGCTGCTGTGTATATACCTAGCATGTATGTAACACGTTCTGCACGTATATCCCAGAACTTAAAGTATAATTTTAAAAACTAGGATTTTCTAAATAAAAATGTTATTTATATCAATATGTAATAAGTTTATTATGTTAAATGAGTTCATAAATGTTTTTAAATGTCAAAAAAATTAAAAATTTTATTCATGTAAAAAAAAGAATAATGCTGCTATGGACACTCTGTGTGCATTTGCTGGAGCACGTGGGCAGGTGTTCTTGTAGGTTATACATCCAGGATAGGAAATGATGGGTTGCAGGGTATGCATATCTTCAGCTTCTCAAGCTGATACCAAGGTATTTCCCAAAGAGTTGGAACCAATTCACAGCCTTGCCATTGGTAGTTTAGAGTTCCTATTGTTCCGTATCTATGCTGTATGTAGAATTGTCAGAATCTTTTCGTTTTTACCATCCTGCTATGAGTATAGAAATACATCATTGTGGACTTCATTTAAATTTCTTGACTATTAATGAGGTTGAGCACCTTTTTAGATCTTTATTAACCACCTGCATATCCTCTCTTTGGTTTTCCGTGCAATTGTTTTGCTCATTGTTCTCTGGGGTTGTCTGACTTTTTCTTGCTGATTTCTACTGGAGTCGCCTCTTTCCCCAGCTATATGTATTATAAACATCTTCCAGGATCCAGGGTAATCTTCTAAAACCCTTATTGGTTTGTCTTTTACCTTTTGAATGAATGTCTTTATCACGTGTCCTTCCTACCCCAAAGACAGAATCAGGAATCCTTTTTTTATGTTCCTTTCTTACAATACAATAACTCGCTACTATACAATACAGTAACTCCAATATCTGAAGTCTTTGTGGACCTCTGCTGTTCGTTGTTTTTCTTGATTTTTTCATCTTGTTTTCTTAAGATCTGAGTGATTTTTTTATTGTGAGAGTGTATATTTAAGGGATGTTTATGTATGTAACGATACTTTGTGGAATTCCTTGGATTCCTGTGTTTAAAAGAGCATTCTTCTGAATCAATTTGTCCTCAATTTTTCCCTAACAGCTCACACTATTTTGAATTAAATTCATAGCTTTAGATTTCTTAGACTATGCACCTGTGCCGGTTTTCCTACTCTGCTCTCATGAAAGGAAATGAGGCTGCAGTTACAAATTCTCAGAATAGTCTTTTTTTCCTTTTTTTTTTTTTTTTGGAGATGGAGTCTTGCTCTGTCCCCCAGGCTGGAGTGCAGTGGCACTATCTCAGCTCACTGCAACCTCTGTCTCCCAGGTTCAAATGATTCTCCTGCCTCAACCTCCTGAATAGCTGGTATTACAGGCATGCACCACCACGCCTGGCTAATTTTTTTGTATTTTTAGTAGAGACGGGGTTTCACCATGTTGGTCAGGCCAGTCTCGAACTCCTGGCCTCGTGATCCCCCCACATCTGCCTCCCAAAGTGCTGGGATTACAGGCATGAGCCACCGCGCCCAGCCCAGAATAGTCTTTTTTCCCACTTTGTTGAGAGCCAAAGTTAAGACAGGCAAGTTCCTTTACCACAGTCGTGCATGTGTGTGTTTCTGTTTCATCCATTTATTAATGTGTCAGCATTTGGGGGTCCTTATGAGTGAGATTTCTGATCTGACTTTTCACATTGCTTAGGGCTTAGCTCTTTTTTCTTGCCCTTGCCAGGGGCCCACTAAAATTCAAACTACAGATTACCAGGCATTGGCAGATACCCCCAGGGAAGCCTCTAACTAAAGCATTTCCTTATCTTTCTGGAGTGAGACCTTCATGTCATTTTTGGCGTTTAAGAATTCCTCTTTCTTGCCAATGACTCATTGATTTAAAGAGTCATGCATTTTCAGTATTTTGGACAATATTTTGGGGGGGGGGTGTTTTATTGGGAATAGTTTCTAAGAGTCCTAGTTATGAATTAATTTTTAATTATAAAATTATACACATTGAACACCCAATAAGTGGAACAGTACAAAGAACATATAAAGAAAAGCTAATAATTTCTAAGCCACATCTTTCCATATCTAACCCCTCAATGATAATAGCCGTGGTTGATAGTTAATAACTAATTTTAATAGTCTGTTTTGTACCCTTACCATCTTTCTCTGTGTCCAAACATATACAATCATATATGTACATGGGTTTTGATACTTGGAAAACATAAAATGAAATTATGACGTATACATTCACTACTACTGTACTTTCTTCTTTTCACCTGACTCTTCCTCATGCGTATCCATCCATATAAAAATGTAGGTCGACAATTATCTTAAATAGATGCCCACACTCTGTTCAACATCTCTACTCTTCTAAATTTCTGCTAGTCTTATGGAAATTACAGAGTTGCTTCATTTGCATATTCCTAACTACTACTGATATTAATCTTCTTTGCTTTTTAAAGTTTTTTAGTTAAAAACATTTATGTGCTCGCTTCGGCAGCACATATACTAAAACTGGAACGACATAGAGAAGATTAGTATGGTCCCTGTGCAAGGATGGCACGCAAATTCATGAAGCGTTCCATATTTTTTTACAAGAAAAAAATCAAACAACCCCACCAAAAAGTGGGCAAAGGATATGAACAGATGCTACTCAAAAGAAGACATTTATGCAGCCAACAGACACATGAAAAAATGCTCATCATCACTCACCATCAGAGAAATGCAAATCAAAACGACAATGAGATACCATCTCACACCAGATAGAATGACGATCATTAAAAAGTTAGGAAACAACGGGTGCTGGAGAGGATGTGGAGAAATAGGAACACTTTTACACTGTTGTGGGGACTGTAAACTAGTTCAACCATTGTGGAAGACAGTGTGGCAATTCCTCAAGGATCTAGAACTAGAAATACCATTTGACCCAGCCATCCCATTACTGGGCACATACCCAAAGGATTATGAATCATGCTGCTAAAAAGACACATGGACATGTATATTTATAGCAGCACTATTCACAATAGCAAAGACTTGGAACCAACCCAAATGTCCATCAATGATAGACTGAATTAAGAAAATGTGGCACATATACACCATGGAATACTATGCAGCCATAAAAAACGATGAGTTCATGTCCTTTGTAGTGTAGGAACGCGGATGAAGCTAGAAACCATCATTCTGAGCAAACTATCGCAAGGATAGAAAACCAAACACCACATGTTCTCACTCATAGGTGGGAATTGAACAATGAGAACACTTGGACACAGGGTGGGGAACATCACACACTGGGGCCCGTCGTGGGGTGGGGGAGAGTGGAGGGATACCATTAGGAGATATACCTAATGGAAATGATGAGTTAACAGGTACAGCACATCAACATGGCACATGTATACATATGTAACAAATCTGTACATAGTCCACATGTACCATAGACCTTAAAGTATAAAAAAAAAATTTATGAGGCCGGGCATGGTGGCTCATGCCTGTAATCCCAGCACTTTGGGAGGCTGAGGTGGGTGGATCACGAGGTCAGGAGATCAAGACCATCCTGGCTAACATGGTGAAACCCCATCTTTACTAAAAAAACACAAAAAAATTAGCCGGGTGTGGTGGCGGGCGCCTGTAGTCCCAGCTACTTGGGAGGCTGAGGCAGGAGAATGGTGTGAACCCAGGAGACGGAGCTTGCAGTGAACTGAGATGGCACCACTGCACTCCAGCCCGGGTGACAGAGCAAGACTCTGTCTCAAAAAAAAAAAAATTATAATTAACAAATACAAATTTTATGTATATTAGTGTGATATTTTCCTTTATATATACTCATATTGTGAAATGATTAAATCAAGCTAATTAACATCTCCATCACCTCACATACTTATCTTTTGTTTGTGATAAAAACATTTAAAACCTACTTTCAGCAATCTTCAAGTGCTTTTAATTATCGGCCATTTGAATTTCCTCTTTCGTGAATTGCTTGTGCAAATCTTTTTCTATTGAGATGTTTGTCATTTTCTCATCAATTTGTTTATTCGAAAAAATAACTTTTGGCTTGTCGTATGTACTGCAAATATTTCCCTCAGCCTGTAGTTTGACTTTTATTTATTATGTGTTTTGTTCTATAAAAATTTAGAGTTATGTAATCAATAATGCCTACTAATTTTTCTTTATATCTTTTACATTTCTTGCTTAAGAAGTTCTCTCCAATGCTAAGATTATGAGATTATTCTCCTAATTTTTCTCCTAAGTTACTTATTTTTAAAAATCTAACATATAGGACAGAAATTTCTACTCTTCTGGGAAAATGAACTAGATGGACATTTCCCTATTCCTCTGATGAAGTTCAGCTAAAAATCCTGGACATTAAATACAAAACAAACACAAGAAGACTCTGAAAGGTGGAAAGGGCAAGGCAGACGAGCCAGAAACCTTAGGACCTGAAGAACAGCACGGCAGCGGGATTACTGAGTTTTCTTTTTGCCTCACACATTCAAGACTGGGTGCTAGAGAAGCTGGAAACCCAGAAACACAGAAATAGAGACAATAAAAGCCTCAAAAACAAAACAAAACACAACACAACAAAAAACCAGCCTGCTCACTCTTGCCAAAGGACCGGGAAAGAGGCAGCCTAACAAGACAGAAAACATTCAACAATAACCACTAGTATAGCCAAACACATAGTTCCACCCCCATCAGAGCTGAGAGAGGAGCCTCAACTTCTGCCTTTACCAAGCTGAAATGAGGAGCCCCAGTCTCCCTGCAAAGAGCCCAGACTTTCGTCACCACCAGACAGTAATGATGCTGCCTTCCCCCAGTGCGTGTGCTGTCAGTGGAGCCCATGTGGGGAGCAGGAAGATACTTCTATCCCTCTCTGCTGGAGAGGTATCAGTGGAACTTATTGGGGAGCTAGACCTCCCACCCCAGCCCAGAAGTAATGAGAAGAAACCACTCCCCCAACTCAGTTGTCAACAAAGACTGAATGGGGAACCTGATTTCTGCCCCCATCCGGCAGTAATGAGGTGGTACTCCACTTCCCTGCTGGAAGGGTGACAGAAGAAATCAAGGTTTAAACGAGATCTAGAATCTCATAACATAAAACCCAAAGTTTCCAACTTTCAATTAAAAATTATTTATTATATCAAAAACCAGAAAGATCTCAAACAAAATGGTGCCAACACTGAGATGACAAAGATGTTATAATTATATGACAAAAATTGTAGAGGTCATCATGAAGAAGCTTGAAGGAGCAATTATAAACAAACATAAAGATGTTAAAACAGAACGTCTCAGCAAAGAAATAGAAGATATAAAGAAGAAACAAATGGACATTTTAGAAAATGTTAAGAGTGTAACAGAAATACAAACTCAATGGATGAGCTTAACAGCCAAATAGAGAGTACAGAGGAATAATCTGAATTTAAAGATAGAACAATGGAAAGTGTTCAATCTGAACAACAGAGAGAAAACAGACTGCAAAAAAACCTTAACAGAACTACAGTGACCAGTGGGATTTATAACACCTGGAATGAATAAGTCTAGAGATATAATGTACAGCAGAATAACTATAGTTTGTACTGTATTGTATCCTAGAAATTTGCTAAAAAAGTAGATCAGGCCGGGCACGGTGGCTCATGCCTGTAATCCCAACACTTTGGGAGGCTGAGGCAGGTAGATCACCTGAGGTCAGGCAGTTCAAGACCAGCCTGGCCAATGTGGTGAAACCCTGTCTCTAGTAAAAATACAAAAATTAGCCGGGCGCGATGGCAGGTGCCTGTAATCTCAGCTACTCGGGAAGCTGAGGCAGGAGAATCGCTTGAACCTGGGAGGCAGAGGTTGCAGTGAGCCAAGATCGTACCGCTACACTCCAGCCTCGGTGACAAAGCAAGACTGTCTCAAAAAAAAAAAAAAAAAAAAAAAAAGAGTGCATCAGACTAGGCTTGTCCCAGGGGCAAGACTGCCCTGCTCTGTCCAGGTCTAACAGTCAACAAAACTAAAGCCACCTCAAGGAGCATGACAAGCCTTGTGGAATGGGCATCCCTGGCCATGCTCCACTGCAGCCATTCTCATTCCAAACTCTCTGTGCTCCACACAGGTTGAGTCCTGTCCCTGCCACCTCTCGAAACAGCTGTCTGTGTCAGCTCAAATGTCCATGGGGTTCATGGGGTCTCCTGCAGCTAGAATTCCAGGGGTCTGTAGCAAGAGTGGGCCACTCCTTGCCTGTTCAACATACCCCTTCCCCAGGAGCTGCTGGGGTCTAGGAACAAGTCCTGGTGCTTGGCAGCCCCATGCATGGTTTCCAGCTTCCTCTCCATTCAGCCCAGGATCTGCATCCTCCCTCGGTCCACTTTCAATGACTTCCCTCGGAAGATCTGCTCAGAGTGTGCCTGAACATCGGCATGAGATGTTCTTCCTGGATGTGTTTAGCTGGCCATCTTGCCCTGCTAATCTGGAAACTTTTTCTAGCTATCTTATTTTATGATTTCTGACTTAATTCTTAATTACCCTGTGGTCAGTCTGTTTGATTTTTAATCTACTGACATTTGTTGAGACATTTTTTTAAAAAATGTTCCATGTACTTTTGAAAAGAATGTGTATTCTACAGTAATTCTGAGTTCTTTTCTGTAAATGTTGATAGTTACTTTTTTATTTGTGTTGTTCAAATATTTTATATTCTTACTGATTTTTTTTTCTTCTTGTTTTATCAGTTACCAGAAGAAATAAGTTAAAATTGCCTGCTGGTCAATCCTGCTTCAGGTAATGGCAAACCAGTTTACTTTGGGCCAATTATTCCACTAAAGCCAAAATAGATTCACTGGGGAACTCTCAGCCTACACATTTTTAATTAATTTTATTTTAAATTTTTATGGATACATACTAGCTGTACAAAATCTAGTGTTCAGTAGCACAACTATAGTTACAATAATTTGTTGAATATTTCAAAATAACTAGAGAAGTGGATTTAGAATGCTCCTAGCACAAAGAAATGACAAATGCTTGACATAATGGATATTTCTATTACCCTAAATCGATCATTACCTATTGTATGCTTGTATCAAAGTATCACATGTACCCATCCCACACCTTTCAATACCAATCTCCTCCCACTTTGAAGCTTTTCAGAGCCAATTAACTCCAAGCTCTGAAACAAGACAACCAAGTACAAGGGTTCATTGTGTCCCCTAGTACACTTGAGGGTGAACGAGAATGTCCCATCTGCCAGATAGACCCAGAGGTTTTCCCCAACTGTTTCTTTCTTCTAACTGCTTAGCAGGAAATGATTCACTGGGTTTGACCTAAGGTAGCCACTCCCTGGCCTGACACTAAGAACCTGTCCTCCATGGCCCATCTCACTTAGGGCTATTTCTGCCCAGTGCTCCTTTTCCACTCTATTTCCCACTGCGCTGTCTACTGTAAGCACATCTCTAGCCCTTGAAATAGACATATTTCAAGAAATTCAAGTACAGAGAGGTTCAAAAAAGGGGGTCTCTATACCCATTCATCAGTAGTTTGCTAGGTGAACTTGGGTAGATTCAACTACCTGCCTGTGCCTATTTGTTCTCCTTGTGCAATACTTGTGCTCTTCAGGTTTCATAGG